ATAAATTGGTACAGTTGAAGCTGATACGCGCTTGGGTAGCCATAAGGAAATTTCATATGCTCTTTATTGAGGATGTAGGAAAACCTGTCGTTTCTTTGCAGACTTTTTAAGGCAAAGTATTCTAAGTACAAACATAGTATCAATTCTTTTGAGATCACTTTTCTGTCATGTATTATACAATAATCAATGGGCTTCTACAAGACATTATTAAAACAAAGCCAAGTTAATATTGATTCATCTCAAAGATGACAGACCTTTGAATATTTTATCCACCTTTATGTTAGTAAGGACATGCACATAACTGTATTAACTTTATTCTTTAACAATTATTCCATCAAAGCAATACATTTCCTTCAACTTCTGAAAATCTCAACCTCAAAAATAAGGAATCATTTCCTTATATTTGTATTTTTGTTTGACAGAAACCTCAGAAGAAAAAGGAGCAATATTTCTGGGGTCAGAATTTGAACTCTAGAGTACAAGTAACATATTATACTCCCAAATGGTTTATCAGGGGAAGACCAGTGGTAAATAAAAGTTTAAAAGAACCAAACATAATGAAGTGTCAGTAGAAGTAAAAGTCTAAAAAGTTTTCAAGGGCAGATAGTATTACATTAAAATCAGAAGCATTAATTATATTTTGCTTAAAACACCATTTTCATTGCCATCACTGTAAATTAAAATAAAATGCTTTTTTTTCATAGGCAACTGAGATGGCGTGGTACATCGTAATGCTACAGAAATTAAGGAAAATAATATGAAATGGAATTTTCATAGAAATTCAAATGAGGTTTTTAAAATTATTATATCTGAAACCCATAGTATTATTATAGCTATCAAGATACAAAATATTTCAGGTTTTCTTTCCATTTCTAGTTATGAGCAAAAATGACAATATTTTTCATAATATTTATTTTTTTAGGGTCATCTACAGAAGCTGACACAAAAATCCTGTCTAGATCTTTCCTAACTTGGCAAAATATTTAGCTAAAATAACTGTTACTGACTGTGGAATGCATAGTCAGCAAATAGTAAAAACAAATTAGAAAGTCATAATATTATGTATAATCATGAATGATTAAAATTTTAGAAGCAAGTTATGTGAAGAAAATGAGAAAAACACTAGTGGAACTAATGCATTTAAATCATGACACACTAATAATGTGATCATTCAATTTACAATGTTAAATAATTCAGTTTGTTATATTCTGAATGCAATTTCTCAACATACTATCACTGCATAATTTTTATTATTTTGTGACCTCATAAGCCATTAATTTGACATTAAAAGGTGAAGTGATTATAACATAACAGTGAATACAATAAGGAAAATGACTGTGAGAAGTCAAAGAAAAAGTTTAACTGACTTTGATGTTTTAATAAGAATCTTACTCTCAGAAGGAGCTTTCTTTTCCTGTGTTTCTTTCAGTTGTATTCTCACACGTGCTAGCCATGCTCTGAGTGAGACTTCAGGCACAAACAAATGGTGTGACCACAACTCCAGTTCCTCTTCACAAACCTTGTAATGAAATGCAGAGCAACCAAAGAATAGAGTCCTGTGCTGTTCATCTCGCTGTCCAATGGCTAATGCTGGCCATGTTTGAGAAAGGACTGAACAGTCCAAGCCTCTCAACATGTGACTAACATCCTAACTACAGAATACCACCTTCATTATGTGAGAAATATACCTGTCCCAGTAACATCTGCTCACTTTTTATAATTTCTACTCAAACTCAGTCAAATTTATGGGGAAAAAAATCAAGACACTCATTTCCCCAGAGACAATCTCAGATTGTTACAAATCCAAACATTTTGGAGAGTGGCAAGGAGGAGGAAACTTCAGTTGGGGTAAGGTAACCATCAGGAACATCCACAGTCTTCTTGCCATTAGCACTAAGGACTAACATAGACAGAAGATAAGGTCCCCAAGCTCATCACATGTTAGAGCTGAACAGAAATCCATCCCACCCCCTCACTACTGGGGTGCTGGATGTATATGGCAGGATGCCAACCACAAGGAGGCAAATTTTTGGTTTCACGTAAATTTTCTAGTCCGCTAAATGTCTTCCGTCTTACACACACAGTCCTTCCTCACCCATCTACTATGGAAGATCATCAATTAGCTTAATTTACAGATTACAATAATAAGGAGGAAAATTTCATAAAATTTTTGAATTTCTTGATTATTGCTGACCTTCATACTGAAAAAGGTGGAGGACTAAAATTTCTTTCATAGAACAGAGACAGTGGTTAAAGTAGTTGGGTAATAGAAGAAAATATCCAATCCTATTTTTGGGTTCTTGTTTTTTATTATTTTGATGGAGTTTTTGATTTGTTGGTTTGGGGGTTTTCTTGGAACTGTTCTTTGATTTTTAAAGGCAGAAGAGTTAGGAACAACAACCTCTGGAATGCTTGTGGTTTTTTCTCAGTAATTGTAGTAATTTGATAGCGTGCTAATATGCTGAATCTTTGGAATTACTGACTTTATTGAGGTTGAGTGATTCAATTGCTTGCATTCTTGACAGATCAAGAGAAGAGTAAAATAATGAGAATACATTCTTTAGAAGAGGCTAGGAAGAGGTGAGGATCATATCTATGTTTCTTAGAACTTTTCAAGGTCAGGGTTTTCTAGAATAAAGAATTGGGAAAATCCAACAACAAGCCAACAAAAAGCCCCCGTGACATGGGTAGTAGGAGTGGTTGACACTGAGGAAGAGACACTGCTTTTCAGGCAACACCAGAACAGGGGATAAGCTATCCAGACTGCATGCTACGTTATTTATCCCAAATGTTTGGATTTCTTTTTCTTTTGTTCATTACTCTTTTTAAAAAAAAAAAATCAAAATAAACTGAAGGGATTTTACGAACTTCTGCATTACTTAAATCGCACTGTTTATTTATTTAGACAGATCTGCTGTTTATTTCATTTATATAAGTATTTTCAGTTATTGCCAGCTTCTTCTGTGAATTCAACAGTGTGATACTTTGTGACAGTTAAAGCTTTACTTCATGTAAATGGACTTTGATTTCAGGCATTCCAAAGACATTTAATACAGTTCTGTCTCACACTGATAAAGAAAGACAATAAACGATAACCAGCAGCATTTTTGACAGATTTCTGCCAAGTCACACTATGTAGCTTCAGCTGAGAAATGAAAAATAATTTTGTTTAACATTACCCTATGGAGTCTAATGAATATTCAGTGAATTTCAGTCCTGAACTTCCAATCCTGTATACTGAGTCATGGAAAGCTCACACCATGCTGTCATGCATCGCTTGTTAATGTCCTTCTTTGACCTTTATAAAGACACTTAACAAAGGAAATTGGTATCCATTGTTGTTTGACATAAAAAGGTAGTATTTAGCATGAATAGCCCCATTCCAAACCTTCAAGTTCCATGAAAAAGCTCGTATGCATTTCATGAGTTCATTATAAAAGGATAGTATTTCAAGATAGACAATGTACAAATTGTTATATATCTATCTCTTTGTACTGTTATATTCAGAAGGAATATAACAGCAAGAAAAGAAGGAATGCAGCACCAATTGTGCATATTAGGCTACAGTAGAAAAGTTAATGGGAAAAGCTGAAAGAGATGAAAGGGACAGAGGACCAATTGCTCACCCAGGCTCTTCACGGTGGTACTTGATGGGAGGAAGAGTGTAAGTGGGACAAAAGAGCATCAGAATGAATATAAGAAAAAATGTGTTTGAAGAAAAACTTTTTTCAACCCAAGTACAGTCAAGAAATAGAGCAAGTTGCACAGAGAGGCTGAACAGCCTCCATACCTGGAAGTTTTCAAGGTATTACAGAATAAACCCCTGAGCTACCTGGTCTGATCTCATTGTCTTATCATGTTTTGAGCAGGAGGTTGAACTAGGGGGCTCCCACAGCCCATTGCAACCTGAATTACTGTTTTATGCTATGATTATTATTACTGGGTACCCAACAGCTGTAAAAAAGAGAAGGCTTTAGTAAAGTAATAGGAAAAAGGAAAAATTATTGCCAGATGGGAAAAGAGGCAAGAAAACCCTTATTGCAATAGGGGGCAAGTACGTCAAAAATTAGGAGCAGGAAAGAAAGCTGTCTACAAAATCTTGACACCAGCCCAGGAAGGAGTGATGGGCCTGGAGTGGGGAGTCTGCCAAAGTAGTTTACATAATTATGTCCAAGAAAAGCCATGTATGTTAAGGGTAATCTAGAACAATTAGTTCCTTATGCTGTGATTTGTTTTTGTGACTCTTATAATGGAATTGTATTTCTGTTATCTTGACAGAAGTCAGTATGCATACTCTTTTATATCTAAATCTTGTAACACCATAAACCAGAGTCATGTCACATATGGAAGATACAGCCTTCCCTGGAAAGATGGACATAATTGGGGTGCACTGAAAAGAAATGTTTGTGCTATCTATATTCAGGGCTCCTCCTGAGTTTTCATGTCGCTTCCACACTAGGTTGCAGGAGTCTTTTTGTGCTGTTAACACTGGTTTATGCAGAGAAAGACAACTCCCTTGGTATGTCTGGAACTTCTTTGATGAGAAGCCTGAAAGTGAAAAATGGCTTCACACTTCAGGAGGGAGGGTTGGAAAGGAAACCTGTCACAATAGCATAACACATATTTGAAAATGTCTTCTTCCTTTTTTATTCTGTTCATTGACCTTCAAAGATGAAAGACAGAGTTCCATTCCTAAGACTTAATTTTTTTTTACCTACATACTCAAAACAGGAGTAAAACTATTAACTCTTCAGAAGTTTACAACTAGGTTGTATTGATAGGGACACTGAAGGAAATGGGGAAGCACCTATTAGCTTCACTTTAAAAGCGAAATAGAAAAAAAAGATATATAAAATGTCAGTATCAAGGATATTAGTAAATATCTATGAAGATATGTGTAAATATTAAAATAATTTCTGATTTCAGGAAAAAAGATGGAGTTGAATGTGCAACCATGGACAATAACATTTTTATCTTATACAACTTTGTTTCTCTTTTAGTGGCAAAGCATTACTATAACACTGGTTGAGAAAGTGCAGATGGTTGCTGTAATCCTAGGATCTCTGTTCTTAGTAGCAAGTGTGACTTGGCTTCTATGGTCAGCCTTCAGCCCTTATGCAGTATGGCAAAGAAAGGACATCCTTTTTCAAATCTGCTATGGAATGTATGGTTTTATGGATCTAGTATGCATAGGTAAGCTCAAATCTTTAAACAGCACAGACTGTGTTTTAAGACTGTGACTATTTCTATTTTTCTAATTGGTCACTCTAATTGATCACTCCAGTTCTTTGCAGATTTATTCTCAGCTGATACCTTTGGCAAGTGCTGCTTTTTACAGTGTTGCAAATATTGCAGAGAGAAAAGAATCAACTAAGCTTTACTCTCAGATTCATGAGTGGATTCACAAAATCTTAATGGTGAGAACAGGATCAGTTTAAATTTCTTGATAAAATGACTAACAAAGCTCAGGGAGTTAGATGAAAATATGAAAGACATTATTAAAATAATTAGTAAAATTACACACTGTCATCTGATGCCAGTTTGAATTGAATTGTATCATCATGAAGCACAGAAGAAACCCTTGAAGATGTCATCAAACTGCACGCCCAAAATTAGGTTGCACAGATTATATAGGTCACTGTGCTAGAAATGGAGGTGAACAGAGAAGGCAGGCATGAGTTCTTTGCACATCATAAACAATTATGAAACACACGGCAAGTGCTAACTTGCTTTACTATTAAAAAGCCCCAAGTCACTTAACTGAAATCTTGTAAAAGAAAATACATTTCACTGCAACACTGTATTGACCACTTTTGAAATTTCTGAAAATACACTGGACTCAGGAATATTTAAATAGAAATCCCTTTTAGTATTTGGTAAAACAACCTGATTTGATAGAATATTTATGATTATTTGGAGAGAAAATTTACATTAAATATTACATAATTATACAATTTAGAGAAATAAATTTACATAATTAATAATAATTATTTACATTAAACCACATTCACAGAATTTTAATTGCAAGAAAATCTAGAAGTCAAATGCCATCTGATGTTTGCATTGATATTTATGAGAGATAAATGTTATCTGAATCTTATATATGGGAATTAGAACAGTGCTGAATTCTGCTTTGTAAGGAACAAAGAAACAGAGTGATTCCTAATATCAGGGGTTTTACTTCAACTGTAAAGCCACATCATCTTTTATTGAAACCATCCCATTACTGTAAAAGTATTTATGTTTCAGTTACATTAGCAGTTCTGTTCATTTTGTAATTTTTGTTAGAGATGCCTGCTCTGGAATATTTTATATCACAGGCTTTCTTCTATGAACCCAAATCTTGGACAGAAAAGTGAGCAGAATCTCATACTTTGGACAAGTGCACATCTTTTAAATGAATAAAAGGACTCAGCTACATGTTCTCTTAGATGCTGATTTCTGAACATCACCTCTTACACCTTAACCCTCAATACTGAGGGCTTTGCTTTTGTTTAAAAATAGACTGAAGAAAGATAAAATGTGCTTCAGGCATTCCAAGAATTTCATTTATATGGAATTCTGGTTTGTTTGGGTTTTTTCCCCAGTGAAAAAAAAATACTTTGGAATGCATCAGCTAGTTGAAATAACCAGTTACTTCAAATTATTTTCATTTTTTTCCCATTTGTTTTACTGCTAACACATCTAAACCAGATTAAAGTCAAAATCAGCCAAGAATGTCTGTTGGTGATCAGAAATATTACTGTATTTATGCATAGAAGTAAATATTTGGAAGATGACCTTCCATAGACTGGTGCATCCTTTATCTGCCTTTCAAGCCAGCTAGGCTCAAGCCACCACTGAAGTGGAAGCTGCTGAGTGAATGTGTACCTCACATGGAGCTTCTGGCTCAACCACACCCTGCAGGAGCAAAGCAAACACACAGATAAACTGACTTACCTGTCATTTAATAAATGCATATTTTATAGAACTGTCATAAATAATACATGAACATTTAAATATATTTGGACACTGCATTGTAGTTACAAAATTCACTGCATTAGTTACAAAATTCACATAAAGACTGTATCTGGAAATTCAGAAATCTGTATAAAGGAGGTTTTGTAATTGATGAATTTTGATAATTCTGATTCATTCAGATGCACTTATTCTGCATATACTCTCAAGTAATTTGCATTCTGTTAGCTTGTAAGATCAGGACTTCCTGTAACTCTTAAAGGTATTCATTAATATAGTCAACCTTATTCAATTTCATCTTTTTCTTTCATGATAAAGTGAGTGGTTTGGATTGATAATTTTAATTTACAATTTTTGATAAAATTCCCTAATAGATATATGTAAGTATTACTTATAAATTGTTTTTACAACCCAAAATACTTTCCATTATGCTGATGACTTCTCAAGGCATTAAGTTACTTTACCATTATTATGTATAATCTCTTATATCATGAAGCTTGTAATGCTTCCAACCAGCTACAGGACTCAGGATCTCCTCTCCTTTCATTTGTGTTTATTCATCCATAGCATTGTCCTAGTTTTGAACAGGGTTTACAGTGAGTGAATACCTCTGCTCCCACTGTAATCTCTCTTTATTTCACTGAAAAATTTATGCAGACATACAGGTTTTCCTGTGCACCACATATTTCAAGATAATGCTTGAGATACTAGTGGTATGACTAAGATTTATTCCACCTGCTTTCAGTTATATCTCCCTACACCTTTGCAGAAACAATACAAATACTTTTTGGTTGTTTGTAAAGTGTAGATAGCTTCACACAAAAAGTGGGAAACATTTTTTGAAATGTTTTGCTATTATTTTTAAAAGCAGTTGGCCAAAAGGTACTGACATATTTTTATATATTTGAAAATGTGCACATAACAATTCATTTACTCAATTTTTGACTTTTATATGACATGTAGCACACCAGTCACTTTCTTATTAAGTAAATTACACCTAACTTGTATTTTACTTCTTTGTTTTTACATTTCAACAAAAGAAAAACCCTGAAGATTATAGATCACCAGAATAATATGTTCTGTTCATTCTAGTGTACATATTTTATTGGTATCCACTCTTCTCTTTCTTCTAGTCTGAATTTTCACAGATCTATTCTTGACCAATAGGATTGTTTTTATTTATCAGTGTTGGCTTTAACCCTACAAGTCATTACCTTATACCTTCCTGCATCAAAGCTGAGTGTAAACCTGTTCTCTTTGAAATTTGCTGTTGGTTGAAGTTTTCCAAAGCAAACCTTCAACACCCTGATCATCAGAACTACAACCTGTGAAACCCTGAGCTATTCCAGTGACAGTGCTAGGATCAGACCATCCATGTAGGGATTACCAAAGGGAGTGAGTTCATATAAGTAATGAATAATATAAATCCCTTATTCTACCCACTGAAATGCAGTATATCAAGCCTTTGCCATTCTACTTTCTAAACCTAGCAATTATTTTGCATAACAGAAAAGTAGTAGAGTTGTTTTTTTTTTTCGCACTGGAAAATAGTTATAACTAATGATCATAAATGGTTCTAACATGAGCAAAACCTCTCACAAATAATAGCAGCTGACTTGCAATCCCAGAACAATATTGCTGTTCCTTTTCCAGCAGTGAAGAGAAGTTGTCGCATTGCACTAGATACATGACTGGTGCCAGTAGTGCTGTGGCAAGGGAGGAAGAGATGGGAGCCAGTGCAAGGTGTGAATTGCCCTCTGAAAGCCTCTTTCTTCCCTTCTAAGTAACTTGATGCCTCGCAACATTCCTGTGACTCCTTGGTTGTAAAAAGGAACAGGCTAAAGTTGCTTACAATGAATACATCTAGCTGCACTTTATATGTCTTCACTCAGAAAGTCTTTATTTCTCCCACACGGGATCTAATTCTAAATAGTTTATAAAGAATTATATTTTTTTATTATTACTATTTTTAGCATGGATATGTTTCACTTTAATGCTGTGAGCAATTGATTGCTTTTTTTAATATTTGTGGGCTGTAGAATAGTTTTAAGACATGACATTTTGTCCAGAGGTAAAGTCTGTTTCTGAAAAGGATCTTTTTTCCCTGGATAAAATCTTGTGATATTACTGGGAGGACCATTCCTAAATGTGTATATGTAGATCAGTGTGATAAATAAGATAAAGTTGTAACCTAATAGCACCAAATATGAATAAGTCAAGTTGACTGCTTGTAAAGACATTCAGTTGTAAAAAATTTCAAGTATCTGGTGAGTCAGGATAACAAAGCCTTTGAAGACAATGAAAGAATAGAATAGTATTTGGCAAAAATATGAAAAAAGAAAATAAAATTAAGATTCTTCATAATCCTATTAGCTGGATCCCACTGCAATCCCTCCATCTTAGAGATAAAGCCTAAAGGTAAAGACTTCTTAGGACCATAGGACATTTAGATGGGTCCATCATCCAAAACTCTGTTCCTTGTAGATATTAATTGGATGGAACATCCAAACAGCTAACAGAAGTGAATTGTAATATTTCTTGGGATCATCTGAGTCAAACAAATATTTTTCCCCTACAAGTGTTCAGCTGTGTCCTCTGTGCTGTTGAAATCATGGTGTTTGGAAGAAATCAGAATTCTTCAGGGATTTATTCTTGTTTTCTTTCTCATAGCTACCTTCATTGCTGTGAAATCCTTATGAGAAAGGCAATTATTTGCCATTTTCTTACAGCTCCACTTCAGTGACTAAATACTTCTATTTTGAACTTATATTCAGAACTCCTCTGGAGCTGGAAAATCTCTAGCATTTAAAACATACCTGGAGTTCCTGTTGTTTGTGGTCTTAGAACTGCTGGTGCCAAGAACTTCACATGCCAACTCCCCCCAGCTCTTTTGCCTCATCTACATAGGTATTTTTAATATATAGCTCTATCAAGAAGGGAGCTAAAACTTTTTACGAAAGGAATTATGAAAATACTGCTTTCCTCCTTCAACACTGCCAAATCTGACAACTTTATGCCAAGACTTGCAATATTTGATCCTTTGTTTTGTAGCTCTTTTAAAGTATATGTGACTGACAGCTTCCACTATAAAGGAAATTTCTCATCCTTGCCAATGTTTAAAAACTTTGGAAACATAATTTCAATAAATCCTGAAAGCCCCAAGACAGTAAAAAAGAGCTCCCTGAAAGAAGTCATCCTACAACTTCTACTGTTGTAATTTTGGAAAGATATTTTGACTGTTTAAATGTAGTTCATGAATCTCAATGATCCTTTCTCAAATACTTCCTTCTCTATTCTGAAATATGTTGTTCAGATTCTAATGGAATGCAGACATGTGTCTTTACTTTGGAGTAAATAGGTTCTTTTAACTTTTAATAGGTTCTTTAATCACAGACTTGAGAGAAGTTGGACCAAATGATGCTGTGTTCCAGGAACAGGTTGAGGAAGATTATTCTCATCTCCTTTATCAACTTTATAGGAAATCCAAAAGAACACAAAAGGATTAATTTTTGTCACCGCAGTAAAACCATGCCTAATTCGGTTTGTAGATTCTGTATGGGATCAAATACATTAATTCTTTTTTGTACAATCAAGCCAGTCTTGAGGATACATTTATGTGTTGACTAAATTATTATGATAAATTTTAAAGACAGGTTACTTTATCTATGTCTGAGAAGATAAAAATAGAAATCTTGCAATCAAGAAAAATATTCCAGTAAAATGCTTTGCTGTTACAAAATACATTTTGAATATTTACTATTTAATTAAGTTTGTTTTGTGCTACTTTTGCTGTATTGGATGCTTCACTGAATTCTAGGCAACTTGAAAGCCTTACAGAGATGCTGCATTCACTATCATGTCCTTCTGAAAGAAATCTTTGTGTTTCTCCATCTTTCAGTGTAATGATCTTTAAAAATATGTTAGAGTAGGCGTTGCTGACTGCAAATCATTGCACTTGAATGTTAGGTTTGCTGTTCATGTAAATATTTTTACCACCCTTTCAGCTTGTGTCATCTTTCTGTGAGCATCTCCTTTCTGTATCAGTTAATTGTACAAAAGGACCTCAGACATTTAAATCACAATTCTCTTGTGTAGAAATAGGTGATCTACAATCTCTTTGGCTAAAGGACATCACAGATCATATTACAGATGTGGCCATGTATAGGCAAATTTTAGGCAAGGAGCACACTGGACAAAAGATTTATAAATGTTTTTGGCTAGGCAGATTGCTCTCTTCCCAAAGCAGGGAGCCAGAGAGAACAGGTGGTGTTGCTCAGAACCATGTAAGTGTCCTCAACCAGGCTGGCTGAGGAGAAAACTAGTAGGAAGGCAGAAGCCCCATGTGTCTCCCCAGTAGATCCATATTTGAAATACTCACCATATAAAGAGTGTGAGTATAAACATATACATGCATACAAAAAGTTAGAAGCTTCATTTCTTTAAATAAGTTGCTTGAACGCATACAACAGGCATAAATGGAAATTCATAAGCAGATTGGTCTCTTGAGGACTCCAGAAATTCTGTATTTTCCTTGAAGGATCTTTTAAAAGATTTTTGGGTCTCAAGAAAAAGATGATTTGCAACTTTTTTCTATTGAATACTGAAGAGAAAGAAGAAAGTTTATCATCCTTACCATGCTCATTGTAGTTAATAATAACATTTCATTTCTTCTTGTTCTAAATAACAAGACCGGAAGGTCATTATATTTACAGCTGTTTCATAAATCTTCTGTGCTCCTAAGTTGAACTGGGAATATGAAAGCAGTTAAATTTGTCAATATCTGTACTGAATTCTACAAAACACTCTTAAACAAATTTAGGACTAGCCTGTTAATTGGAGAAGGTGTAACCTACTTAAAGGTCTATTTAAACCAGTACAAATGTCAGTAAATAAATAGTACTCACCATGAACAAGGGCAGCACTAGCATAAACAGTCAATATCCAAATCTGCCAGTTTTGCATTGGTTTACTTAAATCTGAATAATTTGTTTAGTTCGGCATGCTCAGATTATTCCACTTTTGGTTATGCTGAGCTTTCATTCAGAACAACTTTATTTCCTCTGCATGCTCCTGCCTCCCAAACAAATGAATAACCAGTTAAATTGCATATGTACAGTTTGTTTGAATTATTAATGTTATGAGTAATTTAATTGCATCTGGAACTTGCCAGAGTCGTTAAAATGTGTTAAATCTCAATTTGCTCTCAAAATGGTATCCATTGACATTTTGTATAAGCGCTTTTTTCCCTCTTACTTTCAGGACTGATAGTCCATGAAGGTGCATCTGTTTATCGAGTGTTTAAGCGCTGGAGAGCTGTGAATCTACACTGGGATGTGCTAAATTATGATAAAGCCACAGACATAGAAGAGAGCAATCGAGGAGAATCCTCAGCAGGGAGGACATTGTGGCTGCCACTGACTGCATTTAGAAACAGAAGTTTAGTTCATCCAACACAGTTAACCTCACCGAGATTTCAGTGTGGCTATGTGTTGTTACACCTGTTCAACCGCATGAGACCTCAGGAGGATTCATCAGAGGATAACTGCTCTGGGGAAGTGGTAATGAGAGTGACCTCAGTGTAAAGATTGTGCTCACTGTGCTACACAGATGAGGATAATGTGCCCTGGTGTTACAGGATGCGGAATGTAGTTATGATGAATGGTGAAACCATTAACACTTGAAAAAATATATACACTTCTTTTTTTTAAATTTAATGGTTTTTATATGATCAGATAAAACACAAATACATTTTTCTGGGGGAAAAAGTCTCTTGGTTTTTATATAGTCTGATTTATTGAACCTTTTCTCAATTTGTACCTGAGGTGTATGTAACATAGCTTAACTCTTAGGTCTTTGAATGATGAGGAAACTCATTTTTAAGTAAAAAGATATATTTAAATGTATTTTCTTAAACTCTGGCTTTAATCCACTACTGTTATTTTTTTCCACTTTCATGAGGATTAAACTGGACAACATTCTTCCAAAAAGAATAAGAATGTTGACACAAGTCAAATATTTTTCCTTTTCTGTCTTTATTTTGCTGTTGTTTGTAGCCCAGTTAAGGTGTGTGAAAATAAGTGAATGATATAATGCCCTTTGCATTTAAGCAAGAAGTCCAGTGGGTGTTCTACAAAACCTAAAGGAAGATGGGAATTCTTTTCTTTTAGCTCTCCCAGATGTCCATGCAAGATATCAGACACAAGTATGACACAGACAGGGGGAGAGTCTTGTGCTGCCTCTCAAGTCTCTTAAGATCTGCGGAGGGCTGGTGCTGTGCCTGTGCACAGAAGTGACGTTGTCTTCTCAGCAGCGCTGCTGGAATTAGCAATGTGTGAATCTTTAGTACCATTCTAATTATAGGTCATTGACATACCTTTTTAAAAATAAAAAAAAAGTTTAAAAAAAAAGAAGAAATGTGCATTGCAACTCCTGGAATAATAAATCCTGATAGAAACTGAAGTATAAATAATACAGAACCTTAATTTTGCCAGGGAACAAATCATCATATTAAAAATGAGCCAATATTGATAGATCAATGCTGTGAAGTTTGCTTCTCCTGTTTCTGTTTCATGACAAAAATTCTAATAGGATTTAATCAAATAGTAATGGAAATGGAAATAATTTCGAACTTAATAATAAGCCTGTTGAAGATTGAGATAGAAAAGTAAGACTGAAATTACTCTGAGAACACTAGCTTACTCAAAACAGTTTTGTGGAATCATAGAATATACTGATTTGGATGGGACCCATCAGGAGCATCCAGTCCAACTCCTGGCCATACTCAGGACACCCCAAGAGTCACACCATGTGCCTGAGAGCGTTGTCCAAACACTTCTTGAACTCTGTCATGCTAGTGCTGTGACCACTTCCCTGGGGAGCCTGTTCTACTGCTTAGTTCACCTCTGGTGAAAAATCTTTTCCCGATACTCAGTCTCAACCTCTCCTGACTCAGCTTCAGGCCATTTCCTTGAATCCTGTCACTGGTCATGAGAGTGAAGCGGTACCTGTCTGTCGTGGTTTCACCCCAGCCAGGCAGCCACTCGCTCAGTCCCCCACCAGTGGGACATAGGAGAGAATCAGAAGGGTAAAAGCCAGAAAACTCACAGGTTGAGATACAGGCAGTTTACAAGGGAAAGCAAAAGCCACACATACAAACAAATTTAAACAGGGAATTCATTCACCACTTTCCATGGGCAGGCAGATTTTCAGCCATCTCCTAGGAGAGCCAGGCGTCATCATACGTAGTGGTTAACTGCAAAGACAAGAGCCATGACTCCAAACATCCCTCCCTTTTGTCCATCTTCCCCCTACTTTATATACTGCTCATGATGTCACATGGTATGGAATATCTCTTTGGGCAATATGGATCACCTGTTCTGGCTGTGTCTCCTCCTACACTCCCAATAACCCTCACCCTCCTCACCAGCAGGGCAGTATGGAAATTGGAAGAGGCCTTGGCTCTGTGTGAGCCCTGCTCAGCCAGAACAAAAACATCTCTATCATCTATTACCAGCTCTGTGCTCAGCATAAATCCAAAACAGTCTGTACCAGTCACTGTGAAGACATTTAATTCTACTCCAGCTAAACCCAGCACATTCCACCCCTTATTCCATAGCATTTACGTCATGCCAGGTGTCCCACTATTCAATGCAATTGCAGTAATCACCACCTTAACCAACACACTGCCCCTCTGCTTCCCCTCATGAGGATGTTGAAAACAACAGTGAGGTCTCCCCTCAGTCTCTTCTCCAGGCTGAACAGACCAAATGAGCTTGGTTGCTCCACATACAGCTTCCCCTCCAGATCCTTCACCACCCTTGTGGCCCTCCTTTGGGCCTCCTTTGAATGCTCTTTAATAGTTTAATGTCTTTCTTATATTGTGGCACCCAAAATTGCACACAGCTCTCAAGGTGAGGCCAGCACTGCTTTCCAGCATCTCATTCCCTTGCTCTATACACACACACCCAGGGTTGCCCCATCTAAAGTGCAGAATCCAGCACTTGATCATGTTGAACTTCCTATGTTGATGATTGACCATCTCTCTAATTTGTTGAGGTCTCTCTACAGGGTCTCCCTGCCCTCAAGGGGGTCAACATCTCCTCCCAATTTAGTGTCATCAGCAAACATATTTAGTGTTCCTTTGAGTCCTGTGTCCAAGTCATGAATGAAGAAACTGAAGAGAACTGGGTCAGGGATGGAGTGTTGGCTTGACCTTGTGTGGCTGTCAGATCCCCACCCAGCTTCTGTATCATCCTTCTCAACAGAAGAGAGGGGGAATATAGCATGAAAAATCTTGTAGGTTAAGACAAAGACAAGGGCATCGCTGACCAGCTACCCCTCCTCTTCCCAAGCTCAGCTTCAACCCTTCACTCCCAACTTTTCTACCTTCTCCCCACTGGGCAGCACAGAGGGATGAGGAATGGGGGTCTGCAATCAGCCTATAACTGTTCCTGTCTGCTGCTCCTTTCTCCTCACACTTCTCTGCTCCAGCCTTTGGCTTCTCCATGCATTTCAGTCTTTCAGTATAAACCTGCTCCAGCGTGGGCTCTCCATGGGCTATAGTTCCTTTGAGATATGTCTGCCAGGGGCTTTAGCGTGGATGTTGGCTGCACCATGGTCTCTCCAGAGTTTACAGGGAAATAACCTGCTCCACCAGGACAACTCCAGGGTCACAGGGCAATCTCTGTTTGGGACAGACTGTGTTTGGCATGCAGCAATCCCAGCCTCTCCTCACAAAGGTCACCTCTGCAGCTCCCATCCCCACCTGCCCCCCTCGGCACCTGTAGCCAGTACAGAGATAAACAATTTTCTGTTTCAAAACAAGTTTATCCAGTGGCTGAAAATTTCTGTTTTGTGCAGGAGATGGAGTACTGAGGCTGGAAAATTCCCTCTCATGAATCAACAGGATGGTGCTGAAATCAGTGCATGCCTTCCTTTTATAAGAGGTTTACGTGCCACCACCAGACAGAGGAGGTCTCTGTAACTACACTTGGAAGGGAGATAGAAATAATTTAAGCACTGGTGCTTAAAAGCTCCTTGTATATTCATAAACATTTATCTAATGAGCTCTACACAGGGCCCAGCATTCTGTGTTACAGTCTCACAAACTCAAAGTTACATTTAGTAAATTACAGATGTCTTACTGCTCTCTAACCAATTCATGTGAAAAGCAGTATGTAAGCCATGAACAAGAAAATGCTATCTCAAAAACCCCACTTATCTCCTGCATGGCAAATTACCAGAATACAACAGCCACTCTCCTCGAGAAACTACGTGAATTCACTTCTAGGTTGTCTTTAAACAATTTCCCAAAGGAGGTATTTGGGGAGAAATAAAAGATGAAACTATGACTTGGGAAATCTGCTCTATCACTGGGAAATACTTGTTCTTAATTACTGCTTAAATGAAGGCTGCTTTCCCAGAAGGACAACAGCTTCCCTTGACCAAATTGAGATCACAGTATCTCAAAAAGCATTTGCAATACCAGCATAATAAAGTATGCTGTGATCAATATACTTATGTTTCACACCTGCTAAGAACTTGTGATCTCTGGGATTTAAAGAATATTTAAGTGGTCTTTTACAGGATCCTAAAAACAAAATTAAGAACGATATGAAAACATTTTATTGTAAAGAAATATTTTTTATTATCATCCAAATGGGTAAGGTGCTGGGGGGAAACAAAACTCACCAGAAAAAAATATCAGTAGATCTAATTTAAGAGAAGACAAGATTTCTGTGCATAAATATTTGAGAGACACTTAGGTCTAGAACACTTAACCTCTGTGTGAAAAAAATAGCCCAACTAAGAGAAATGAAAATTTTTTGTAAGAGAATTGTTTATGGCAAATATCACAAAAGCCTTTTTAATGGTAGGAGAACTTAACATTAATTTCTACGGCACAATAATTTTGCATATGACTGCATTTATGTACTTCCATATGTAGAAAACAGGATCAGGAAATTATAAACAGCAACAGAATTAGTACAGGCAGGATGCAGTTGTTAAAAATAATGGAATTGTGTTGTCCTGCAAAATATTTTCAGCAGTAAGAGTGCCTAGTGCAGGATATGAACATTTTTTCATTGACCTTGTATTTGGATTAGTGCAGTACTTGCAATGCTGTAATCACCTACATGCCAGAAGATGAATTAAAATGAGAACAGGTGCATAGAGAGGATATTAGGATGAGAAAGGAGCAGGGACTCTATTCCAGTCACTCTGGGGAGAGGAGGAGGGGTGTGAGCAGAATTAGAAGGGTCTGGCTTGTTCTGCTTAACAAAAGTCGAGAGCAAATGTTATTGTTCTCAGTTAATACATTGCAGAATAAAATTTATTTTAGGCAAAGGACAAGCCTAAGACAGCAGAAGAACTCAAGGACACAAATAGATCAGAAATAAATTTAGCTAGAAGTTCAAGGTAGTTTTAAAATATTCATGGAATGAATCACAGACAACAATTCAAGCTGGAAGGACCCACAGGAGGACATCTAATCCAAGCTGCAGAGTCAGCTTTGAGGTCAGACCAGGTTGCTCAGGGCTTTAAGCCATCAGGTCTTAAAAATCTTCAAGGATGCACAGCCTCTGTGGGCAACCAGCTCCAGCCCTTGACTATTCCCAGAGTTGTGTTTCCTTCTATCTCATATTTTCTCCTGTTACACCTTACACCCACTGTCTCTCATTCTCCCATAAACCACACTGGGAAGTGGGTGGCTCTGCCTTCTTGATAACCCCTTGCTGGGTCCTGGCTGGCTGCTGTTGGGCTTCCCCTGAAGCCATCCCTGCTCAAGGCTGAATAAGGCCTGATTCTCCCCACGCAGGGCAGGTGCTTCTGCTGAATTTGTTCAGTTGCTTCATTCAGTTCAGTTGTTCAGTCTTTCCTGTACTGGGCTCTGCAAAGCATTAGAAGATGAAAAAAACTTATTGGTGAAGACAAAGGCAAAGAAGGCATTAGGGACATTGGTCTTCTCTCTGTCCACTGCCACAAAATCACTCTCTCCACTGAGCAGTGAGCACACAGCTCCTTGTTTGGCCTTCTACTGCTCACACAGAGGATGAAGATCTCTGTCTTGCCCTTGATGTCCCTTCCAGTTCCAGCTGAGCTTGGCTTTCCTAACCCCATCCTTGAAAGGCTGATATTTCTGAAGCCCTCCTCTGTAGGGCCCTGTTTCTGCCTCCTTTTTGTGGCCATTTTCCAGAATTCTCTTGTGAGTTCGCTTAGCTGAGCAGGGCTGCTGTTACACCTGCTTGTTTTCCCAGGTATCAGGATGAACCATTCTCATGTGGTCCATACAGTCACGGCAGTTCCCCTCTACTCTTTAACCCTTCA